AAAGTGGCAACGAAACCTCCTTCTCTGAGCCGTTCGACTTGCAGAGAGCTGTGCGAGACGCAACATTAACATACAGAAATGAGGCACAGCGCAGAGGTCTCGGCTTTAGCTTGGATTTCACGGACTGCCCCGGTACCGTCGTTGGCGACGCAAGAAAGATCAGGACAGTAATCGCAAACTTGACTGCTAATGCCCGTGGGTGTTTCTCATTCCGTAAAGCGACCTTTAACTAATGAATGTACAGTCAAATATACGTCTGACGGCGCAATAACAGTTCAGTGCCGTGCTTTCGAGGAACCATCTGGTCTTCGTGCCTCCGACAATATTGCTGTGGAGCTTGTGGTTGCCGATACTGGATGCGGGATTGCCTCTGATAAGCTGGAGAACATCTTCCGCGAATTTGAACAAGTCGATAATTCCAATTCGCCACCCCCTCAGGCCCCTGGAAGTCCACAGAATAGTGGTCTTGGTACGTGCATTTTATCCCTTACCTATCGTTATGCTCAACCATCAGTAGGATTAGGATTGGCAGTCGTCGCCCGTATTGTTGAGCAGCTAGGTGGTCAGTTACGGGTGGACTCGAAGCCAAATGAAGGCAGTCGATTCTCCCTCCTCATACCATTCGGCACGAGCTCGCGCAGCGCAAGTACATCATCCACTCGAACACGAACTAGCAGCTATCGCGGAGATCAAATTGAGTCGTTGGTTCAAGCACTTCAGTCACATCAGTTCACCGGTATTACGGCTGGGATCTCAACCCCCATAAGAGACAAAACGTCGCATGGTCCAGACAGAGTTGACCTTCCTGCATCTTCACGTCCTAAATTGCTTTCATCAAGTGGTAGCAGCGCTTCGAGGAACGCTAGCTATTCTCATACTCAATTCACTAATAATCGCGAATCTGGTCCTGCCCTACAGCTAAGGATTCTGGTGGTTGAGGTGACTGACCCAAAGATTAATCGTTGCATACATATTGAACATTGCGTAGGACAACGATATCAATCGTACTATTCTCTCGAAGCGCCTGATACTCGATGGCCACACTGTGGTCAATACAACAAACGGGCAGGAAGGGTTGAACACCATCGAGGAGGATCCTGACTTTGATTGTGTTCTCATGGATATTCAGTAAGCGTTATAGGACCACGTTAAGGCATCCACTGACCTCGTATGCACTGATTAGAATGCCCTTGCTCAATGGTTACGAGGCTACTGAACGAATACGCGCCATGGAACAGGACGCTAAGTTCGAGCATGTCCGCGTTTCCCACGTGCTCAATGGCCGCATACCTATCTTTGCAGTCTCTGCGTCTTTATTTGAAGTTCAACGCAGGGAGATGTATGATTTGGGGATGGACGGCTGGCTCCTCAAGCCAATCGACTTCAAGCGTCTTCGCACTATCCTGAGGGGAGTTACTGACCCCGTACAGCGCTCCCGTGATGTATACCGGAAGGGAATCTCCAACTGGGAACAGGGAGGCTGGCTTGTACCTGCGAAAATAGAAACCCAAAATACGACCATGGAATCATAGCTGAGTACTAAGTGGCACGATATACACGGAATGTCTACCCATGTTTCTCACTACCACGGACCTTTGTATTTACACAGCTGTATCTCTATATTTTCGAACGATACCACCCTTGTAGCCATATGTCGACTCATACACGATAATTTTGTAGGTTTCGTAGCCTAGAGTCACGACGTACTGATTGAACATGTACTGTACCGCTATAGCTTTGCTCATCATGCACTTTATTCAAATTCATCGTCATCGATAGATACAAGTCCCACCGGATGTATTTATTTCGAACAGACATGCGATAACTTCCTCATCTAGAATGTAATGTGGGATGTAGTGGGAATGCTGGTATCTCATTCCCTTCTAGCCACTATAGAAGCTAAAATTTCCGGGAGTATGGGTCAAGAAAGAGTGCGGAGACTGGCGGGAGTTTTTTGAATAAACGGCAATGGAACGAACGACAAATAATCACTCTTGTAGACGTCTGTTCTCCCTCTCAATTGCACTCTGGCGCCATTCCGCACCCTTCCAAATAACTAAAAGGAGGGCTAATAGGGCAAGTAGCGTGATACCTGCCCATACGCTATACAATCCGCCGTCCCCGATAGAGTTCTGCGCACGGTGAATTCAGTTTGTATGAGTTTGGGGTCCCCAAGAAATCAGACTTACCTGTAATGGGACGGCAATCTCTGCTGACATGAATGCCAGACCGCCTCTGAAAAGACTATTGCAGGCTACTGCCGATGACGAACGCCCAACGTTGGCATCGACGATGTATGCCAACGTACTGGCGTATACAGCACTATTTTGAATAAATATTTTTAAGTCGGCTATATTCGAAAACGGCGAATTGAGAAGCTCACATCAAGAAGAACCCAATGATGAAGAGGATCACGCAGATACCTCCAATGTTGACATGTCGTTCGCTCATCCAGCCATACGCAGCGATGGAGATGGGGATCATGGGTAGGAACCACTTAGTGCTCGCTAGTCTCATCTAGTACCGCTTCGCAGTTAGCAATATGTGTTGTAGCGTTGCGTGGAAATATACGTGCCTCTGCTTCAGTCTTGCCACCGTTCTTTTCCCTCATACGCCTCAAGATATAATCAGAATACCTACCGCCAAGTATACTGCCGAGCATATTGCCTACGGGGGTAGAATAAGATCACTTTATAAAGAGGAATTATCTGAGAACTCACCGCAGCCGAACGATAGCAAGACCAACCCGATCTCCATTGCATTGTAGTGATACTTCTTACCGAGGGTAATGGAGCATGTGTACGAGATGCTATACGTGACGCCGAATAGAATCCCTATATATCGGTCAGTCAAGTACGTACGCCACAGGATATCTATATAGCTACACACCGGAGCAGGCCAATATGGCTACGTTGTTAAGTCTGCTCAAAACATTCAACATAGGCGGGACGGGGTTAACGTCGGTCAGGGAGAGTTTGATCTCCTTGACTTCGGCCGTAACATCCTCAACGGCAGCCCGCGTCTCTAATACATCGGGCGAATCTCGAGAAGGCTTCTTCTCGTCGTCGTCTTCTACAAACAACTTCTTGCCGAAGAGCCTAGGCGGTTTCTTCTCAACGGCAGTTATATGGCTCAAGGTCGATGTCTCCGACCGCTGCGCAGCTAGTTGTTGGGCTTTGACGCGTTGGAGGACGCGCTGGTACGTGAGACTTCGCTCCCGGCGGAAGGTGTCTTTGAAGAAAACGAAGACGACGAGGACTGAGCCGATAACGATGGAGAGGAACCAAAATGTTGCCCGCCAATTAAAGCCTTGGGTGAGTGCCCCGCCGAGAATTGGCCCTAGGGCCGGACCGATAAGAGGAGCACTGCATGGGGAAGAAGCTTGTGAGTTTGAAACTCTATTGGGGCGTATTAATATACTCTTACCAGTAATATATTCCCATCATGGTTCCACGTTCGTGGGGGTCGTAAATGTCGGCCAAAGTTGCTGCTCCAATAGAAAGGATGGCTGCGGTGCTAATGAAGAGACGTCCCTCGTATTTAGCGACATTTTCTCAAAATAGAGCAATTCAACCATACCCGATTGCTTGTAAGCAGCGCATGGCGATGAGGACGCTAATAGAGCGCGCAGTTGCGGCTACGATGGCTCCTACTAGACCTATGGACAAGGATACCAGGTATACTTTCTGCGCAAGTTGGAAAAGCCGTCAGAGCCTTGTCCATCGAGACGAAAGAGTGTATCACCTTCCTGCCTATTATCTCACTAATAGCACTCCAGAGAAGGGGCACACTACCCTGGATGAGTATAAAAATGGACAAACTCCAGCTAATCTGCGCCGGGGTGGCATGTAATTGGTCCTCAATTTGAGCGATACCAGCTGGAATACGATTATATGAGTAGATAGTACCTTGGAAAAGACATGTTGTCCTATGCTCACGGTTGTAGATATTACCACCCAAGCCGCTGATAGTTGCAGCACCAGAGATAGTGAGAAGGACAATCCACTATCCGGATAATTAGCACCATGGCTGAGTGATATTCCACTCCGCGTTACCAACCTTTCGTAACGGCGACCATTTTCTCGGATCGTCTTCTACTTCCGCATGTTCTATATCCAAGGCAGGGACGACATGTCGTGTGCCGGACTCTAAATCAGGCCTCGCACCTGTCGTCGTGTCCTCTAGTTCCTCTAGTTCCTCTAGTTGAGCATCTACTGGAAGTATAAAATCAGGCTGATGATTGGCTAGGAGAGCGTTGGGTCTAGAAATTTCGTGGTGAGTTTGTATTCTAGATGTCGGAGGACAACAGCGGACTTACAATTCTGCTAGTGGTGTTACGGTCACCGAGACCGTTGGTTCGTGAAGGACGTTAGACATGAGCGTATCAATCGTGAGCAAGACGTCGTAGAGAGCCTCAACGACAACTGTAGGGTATGTACAGGAGTCGAGTCGCAAGAAGGGGGTCTTCTGTACGCATGACTAGGTTACTGGTTTTAAGTAAACATATTATGACTGGATGAGGACATGAGGTCTGGTTTAGTATTAGAGATTCCTCGGATGCAGAGCGGAACAAACACACCCTCGAGAACATCGTCGGTGCTGCTCGGCCGATTTACATTCCAGCGGACTGGTAATTACCACGATAAGTCGACTAGTCAGCGTCCTGCTTCGAAATCATGTCGACTGGAGTGAACTTGAGTCATTTCCACAGTAATTGAGCTTGAGTTTAAAACAATATTACGGTAATGAGTGGCTCACTAGGACGGGAGACTCGAGCTCGTGAGCACCCCGAAAGAACCAGTATCCATGATGTTCTTCTCAGGACATTTCTATTCCTTTCTTGCTTGACTTACAGCGTAAAGCATTAAGTAACCTGCAAGCAGAAACCTCTTCGTCAATCGTGATGCACATAGGTAAGAGCAGAGTCAACGGTTTGCAGGAAGCGACGCGTTTGAGTATGAAATTGATGACAAATTATGAAAAATGTAGGAAAGAAAAATTGAGTCTGCCCAGGCTCGAACTGGGAACCTTCAGCGAACACGTCATGTGAAGCAGACGTCATAACCATTAGACCACAGACCCATGACCGAATAAGGTATAAATTTTTATATATCATTACTTTAATGCCAAGATACGAGACTCGGATCCCTGATCCAATCGGGCAATTGCAAGCCTCGACCCCGACGTTTAACATCTACCCCCACACAACAAGCTCTCGCTCATATTAATCCTACGCACTGCCCATCTGTATCTTTGCCAATATGGAACCGGAAACCCAACAGCAATATACTATCCTTCGTATCAAAAGAAAGCGTAATGAAGAACCCCTGGATGCACTTGGCAAGTTGTCTAATCGCGTCAGTCAGACTCAACTAGACATGCATTTGGCTGCTAGTGGTGGAAGGCGGTGCGCGGCGAAAGAAGACAAAGGGTCCTATGAACGTGTTCCAGTTTGCAGAAACAGTCGAGCCTACTACTTGGCATGATGAGAGGCAGAAACAAGACCTTCAGGTGAGCGCGAGCCTTGGAACGAGTTCCTGCATGTCAATAGATGCTTACACGGGATGTTAGACTCGTATAAGCAATTTGGCTCGTCGTGAGACTATATCGAAGCGCGGAATGCAGTTCAAGCCCTCTGCTCCGGGAGATGCAAGTAAAAGTGCAGAAAACGCTGCACCTCCAACTCCTGAGAGGAAGGCTCCTCGTAAACTCCCCCAGATAGATGACCCTTCGCGTAAATACACCATCGTTCCTAGCGAATCTGTCCAGAGTCCGGTCAAGACAGTCAGCCGAATGAGACCCACCGAACCGTAAGACAACCTCTCCCGATTATCCTGCATTTTTGCGGCAATCGCTGAATCCTAGCTATATAGACCCAAGGTTCACTCTTACAAAGATCTGCAGAAAGCGAGCTTTACGATGTATGAAGCCATTCCTTCTTCAAAGTCCGTGGCCAACATGGCTGGCCCACCGGATGATCCTGAGATCGCTAAATTCCTCCCCATGTTGAACGACTACCTGCGTCGTAAGTTAGATCTTTGATTTTCTATTCTGAGCTCTATTCACTTATTTGTTGCAGTTAGCGGCGAAGGTTCTTCTCTGTCTACGTCTTCTTCCGAGAACGCTGTCCCCAATGACGACGACGACTACGTCTGGGACGTCTTCTACTCACGTCCAGCCACTTTCCGAGAGTTCTATTCGTCATACAGCAACGTTGGTACTGTGTAGGTGCCATGCGAACAAAAGTCTCCTTGAATCATTAACAAATCGATCTGCACAGGACCGGTCTTCCGGATGACGACGATCAGGGTTCGGAGAGCGATTCTGAATTTGACGATGAACTTGATGAAGATTCCAATGGTATGTTCGAACACTCTTCTCGTCACAAGATAAGCTATTTAACGTTTTATCGTAGCCGAAGACTGGTATAAGAATGATTACCCTGATGAAGAATCTCCGTCTAACGGAGAGGAAGATGCAAGCGGCAATGAAGGAAGTGGTATGTCGTCAGAACACACAAATCCTCTTGGATCCTCTGCTGACTTACTATTGTGCAGATGTGTTCCATGAGGACTCAGATTATGAAGAGCTGATTCACGAACGTCCAACTTAAAGGGTTGTGGATGAGCTTGAAGTCGAGTAAGAACTAAATAGTATCGCTCGTATCATTTGATGCTGTACTGGGTCCTTTGATTCGTTTATACACACACAATTGACTCTTCTCACTCACATATAACAGTAGAAACTTGTATCATAGTGCATCAGCGGGCTCGTTGGCATTACAAAGAAAGGCTTTCACCAATATGAATTGTACATGTCGCATAAGGTCGTTACAGCAGAGAATATAAACCTTGGCAGTATCATTTGGTGTTAAATCAATTTGATATCGCCTTACAAATCGTTGCGGAAAGAAAGACATAACTGACCAGAGGGACGGCTGAGTTCTGCCTCTGGGACGAAGGTCGAACGTTGATTTTTTGATTATTTCTCGTCGCGGATAGAACTCTCCTATGCACGTTGATTAGTTATAAATTTCATTATCGAAGACCCAACAACCTTAACGTACCTCAGAGTGTAAACCCCTCTGACTCGAAGTCTTTCCCCGAGTCTTGCGTCCAAGAGTGAGGAACCCAAGCCCAAGCGCAGCACCCAGCACCATGAGGAAAACAGCCGCAGTCAAACCGGCACCAAGGAACCCAGCACCAACAGGACTAATCCTATCATGCTGGCCCATCGACGTCGAAGTGCCCGTTGAGCTCCACCCACCAGACGAGGACGTACTCGCGCCCCCAGCGCCGAGAAGGGCGGCACATCCACGATCGACGTTCTGACCGCAGACTTTGCACCATTGCAAGGTGGTGTTGACGGCTGCGGGTTCAAAGGTGGAGATAAATTGGGAGAGAGGAAGGTCTCCGCCAGAGGTGTGTCCTGGGATGGAGATGTTGAGGGCGTGGAAGGTGTTGTCGTTTGTGCCGTTTTTGAATTGGAGACGGATGACGGGTTCGGAGTTGTCAGAGGGTTGACGGAGCTCGAAGACGAGAGCAGAGGCGTAATCAACTATAATTGCTTTGTTAACGATTTTTAGGGCAGATTCTTCAGTTGTACGCACCGAGGGCAGACGGGAGCTGGCTGGTTTCGATGATGCCGGTCATATTGAACAAGCTGAGGAAAGGCTTGTAGGAGATGGCAGAATAGTGGAACAGCAAGGGGTCAGACGCGTTCACGATACGTTGCATGGCAGTGAAGAGTGAGGGAAGCATAGTCCTTGAAGCAACTACGAAACACTCTGTAAGAACGATAGCTTGCATATACAGTAAACGGGCTTACTATTTCCAATACCGGTGAAGCTGGGATCGCTGAACACACCATATTCGTGGTAGTTCGCGAGGTCACGAGCTTGTGCAAGGAAAGTAGGAGGCAGACGGTCGACGAAAGTCTTGTTATGAATGGATTGCACATTCATGAAGTCGTAGATCTAAAATGAAAAGGTTGTATCTTGATGTGATATGGAGTTCTGATCATGAACTCACGTTCCACTACGAACGAACAGCGGGATCAGCAGCAGATTTGGGCTAATAGTAACGACTGGCCCACCATGTTATCCAGAGTCACAGGCCTGCCATCAAGGAAGGGAGGGAGGGCGTTCAAGAACGCAGCGCTCTCATTGGCTTTCTGTAGGAAAGCTGGAGACTGATAAAACGCAGCATTCTTACTTGCAAAGTTCTGCAGCATAGTTTCAGCGACACAATCGTTTGAGCAAAGAGGCATAGATGCCTACGTACTGGGCAAGATGTGAAACCTTCGAGTGAAACATCCTCGTTCGGCTCGACAGATTCTATCGGCACATACTGGTATCCGTCGAACGGAGACGTGACGGTCGTGCCATTAGCGAGTTTAATCTTGTTCGCAGCCTAAATAATAATGCTCAAAGGTGACTAATGATCTAACGAGGAGTGAAGAAGAAATAGTTTACGTTAGGGGGAAACAAACCCTGTGTCACGGCAATCGCACTATCGAAAATGACACCTCCCTCTCCGCCTGCATCAGCTCGGACTGCAACTTGGGACTGGTTGAATAGAGGGGATGTTGCGCCAATGTACTTGGGGCCAGCCGGATCGAGGTACAAGGACCGGATCAAGTTTCCGAGGGCAAACTCTTGTATCTGCAAAAAAAAAAAAAGTCGGCTCAGTCATTCTCTTGCCTTTCAAAGTCACTATGAAACCGGGAGCACCTCTCCTAGTGGGGTGATTGAAGTTGCAGACGGAGTATATGTCGTGGGATCCTGATAAAAGCCCTCTCGGTCACCGTGGCGAGCGATGAGGACGACACCGAGGATCTTGGAGTCTGTGGACATGACTGCTGTGTCTGAGAGAGGGCGGATGCACGGATTGCGAGGAGCATGACTGGAAGGGATTTATAGCTCTTTCATCCAACCAAAGAGGAAATGCTGATGTACTTCTAGGACACGGCCCGTTAGGCGTGAGTGTGCACATGTGCTATCGAATTTCAGATACGACGTCAGCGCTCTTTGACTCCCAGGCAATGGTAGCTATATTCCGTACCTCGCCCGGCCGATGATTAATGATTACCAAACCCTTCATACTGTTCGTACGCTTTCGTATGCCTTGATCGACAGGCACCATTTCATCGGAGACAAGGTGGCTTGTTTGACCTGCAATTTATTATGTGCAGCGAGTCGCTCGTTTAACGTTTAATGTTTAATAGCGACCGATAAGATTAGATACCTGGGATTGTGCATCGATAAGGCTGTGGACAATCAGCTAGTTTTGAGCACCAGAGCTGCCGTGTCGTGGTCAAAGAAGCTTTGCGAAGCTCTGACGCTCACCTGCCTGTGACCGGTTCATTCAGTGCAAAGCCAACAAATAAGGGAGGAGACATCATCCCAGACCAACATCACAATTCTTCCATTTCCCATGAGAGAGTATTGCCATGTCTAAAGCTGGGCTCGGCTTTCTCGACGATCCAAGTGGAAGCGGATGTTGTTTGGCAGATGGACGGCTTGCCCACGCGGGTTCGTGCGGGCGTATCATCCACCGGACAAGGTCACTTGGTGGCTGTGATTCACGGACGAGAGTCAACACCGTCATGTTAAAACTTGCGCAGGTTATATGTGTCGCTCAGAGCCTGTTTCTTTTGCTGTAATCTCGGTCTATAAACTTCAAGAACAACGTCTGCAGTCGTGCGCTTTTCAAAGTCCAAGCGCCGAAACAACTGAAAGCAAGTATGAGGCGTATTCGGCTGCGGGTTGCGGACTTGACATATGTCAGTAAGTACCTTGAACTTCGGAGAAGTGGATGAATGATGGCTTACGGCAAACAAAAGGTTATGACTCTAGCCAGGCAAGCCGAGACATACCCTGTTGAAGTTATAAGCCGTCTAGAGTCTCCCATCAGTGATAATGTGTGTAGTACTGTATGTGCGTTACTGTCGTCCATACAATGAGGCATATAGTATCCAGTTCATTAAACACACAAGATAAGAGGAAGGTTAGGCAATCAAAGCGTCCGCTTAACGCCACGGATCCAAGGAGAATAGTCATTTCGAAGAACCGAAGGTAAAGA